TACTTACGGTAACAATTCAAGGGTATACATTGACTTCGACATATACTTCCGGTCATTACGTGTTAAAATTACATAAATACACAACATAATTCTTCGTGATTCATTAAATATAAATAGTTTATAGATTATACGATTTGAAAAGCAACAATAATCATTACATAATATTTATGATTAAATTTATTGATGGCATTCAATAGCCACAGAACAAACAATTTCAATCTCACTGAAGAACGAAATCAAAGGTCAAAAGCACTGGCTATTGATTTTGGATTAATTAATTTAATTATTTTTGCATCAGCAAATCGCCATAGGTACATTTTATGTTCAAGCTTTCATTCTGTATGTTAATGTCTATTTTGATAGTTTTGGGAACTGGATAGAGAGTTAGTTATATGGACAAAAATGATCCTGGATGACTTATGCCTGAAGAAAATCAAGAATCAACACTTACACCCTATCTAGGTTTTCCTAAATATGGCGAAAAATAATAATGGCGTTTCTGATTTTTGACTTTAAAATATTTATTTGGGGGGCTATTTAAAAACTCACTAAATTCAGGTTTTTTTATTAAAGAAATTCAATTGTGTCTGTCGAGTTCTTTAGCAGCAAAAAAACATTCTATTCTTTGGTTTCTTGCAATAAAAGCACCCTCCATTTCCCTTTCTTGGGTTTTCAAGAATGTTTTCTATTTCGTAAGCACCAGTGCATCGCAGTCACATCGTTGTCTTTACTTGATGACATTTTTCACGGGAACTAAAGTCAAACATCAATTTTGTTATTTTTCACCATGATGTTTAGGAAACCTTAGAGAGGGTGTAAATTTTGTTTTTTGATTCATATCATATCATCTCATATTTATTATTTATCACAAAATACATTCCATATACTTGTATAAGAACAGGATTCTATTTAGGCATAACTTGAGGATCATTCTTGTCCATTTAACCAACTCTCTATCTATGGCTATGCTAATACGTGAGATCTCTGTACAGTATAACAAAAACGATATTATTTTTATAAGTTTGAGCATATTTAGGAAATGTATAATGTATCTACTTTCTCAATCTGGAATTGTGGTATTTTGCCTTTGTGTATCTTTCTATTCATATATGCTTTCTAGATCCTTCAAGGTATAACACATATAACGGTTTAGTTATTATTAGGAAATGTGAAGTACGAGTATATTCAAAAGGACAGAGAAGAACAAGTTAAAAAGTAATCGTAAACGATTTACATAAAGCGCATTTCCACTTGCATTCATTTCCCATTTGTAAGATGCAACTTCTGTTAAAATCGTAAAAATCCGGCCACAAATATGAAAGATAGCGTTGCACATGGGCAATCCATTGTTGACGTGCTACTTCAATTTCAGTTTATGAGAAGAATTTCATTCAATGCTTTTCTAAATGAGAAAGTTGGAACTGCGCATGCGCAAACCTAAATTTTAAAACTAATGTTAGATTTTCCTTTGTTCCAAGCGCCTAAGTATCAAATTTCATTTAAATTCTTCCATAAATAAAAAAAGTTGGCACTGCGCATGCGCAAAACCAAATTTTGAAATTGGCGTTTGATTTTCCTTTATTCGAAGTGCTTATGTATCAAATTTCGTTTAAATTCTTCAATAAATAAAAAAGTTGGCACTGCGCATGCGCAAAACCAAATTTTGAAATTGGCGTTTGATTTTCCTTTATTCCAAGTGCCTATGTATCAATTTTCATTCAAATACTTTTATAAGTAAAAAAGTTTGCAATTCGGTTTATAAATGGTCGAGATGCGAAAAGGGCACTGTGAATTTTGAATCGATTCGACTCAACTTGCATTGCGTATTATATGGCTAAAGCTATGCCCATATTGAATTTCATGCAATTCAGTTCATAAATAACGGAGATGTAAAAGCGATCGAACATTTCTAAACAAAGTTATCGTTCACACGGACAGATAGATGGACAGACAGACAAAGGAACAGACGGAGAGACCAACCGGCAGGCGACAGATAGCAATGCAAAATTATAAACGATCTCTAGGATCGTTAATAAACGGCAAAAGTGTAAAATTATGGAACATGTAAAAAACGGTTTTTTGTTTTTTTTTTACAATAACTTTTTTTGTAAGCGGTACAGAAAAAATTCCTTCCTTGGTACAAGACTCGACACCATAACGAACCAAATAGCGAAAAAAAGTAGAACAATAGCTCTTAAGATAAAGAACTAGTAGCGTCGCAAAGTTAGCGGACGGACGGACGGACGGACGGGACGGACGAACGGACGGACGGGCAAAGTGGCCACAATAGCGCATTTTTTAGCGCATTTTTGAAAAAAATACGCTATTATATTCGTCATTGCTGGCAGGCCGGCTGTCCGCGTTAGATCTCCACAACTACAATAGCTAGAGACTTCAAATTTTCACTAAAAGCTTTCTGCTATAGTGTAGATGTGCAGGCACTAGTCTATTTTGAGTTAGATTACTTGTGAAATCGATAATTGAAGAAAATAATTTCGATATGGGTTTCGGAGGTGCTATAATTTTACCGTGAGATAGCGCTACCAGTATAAAAACTTATTATTTACTTTGTGATTTGTTTTACAAAATGAAGACGTACCGTCAATTGAAATTAAATAAAATTAATTATTTAACGCAGCCAAAATGACTCGTGAGATCGATAATTTTAAACGTCGCTAATAAAATACTGACCTGCATTACCAAAAATGCGCTTTAATCATACATATGCTGATTTACAACTTGTTTTGTTATTGCNAAATAAAAAAGTTGGCACTGCGCATGCGCAAAGCCAAATTTTGAAACTGGCGTTTGATTTTCCTTTATTCGAAGTGTTTATGTATCAAATTTCGTTTAAATTCTTCCATAAATAAAAAAGTTGGCACTGCGCATGCGCAAAACCAAATTTTAAAATTGGCGTTTGATTTTCCTTTATTCCAAGTGCCTATGTATCAAATTTCATTCAAATACTTTTATAAGTAAAAAAGTTTGCAATTCGGTTAATAAATGGTCGAGATGCGAAAAGGGCACTGTGAATTTTGAATCGATTCGATTCAACTTTTGGCATTGCGTATTATATGGCTAAATCTATGCCCATATTGAATTTCATGCATTTCAGTTCATAACTAACGGAGATGTAAAAGCGATCGAACATTTCTAAACAAAGTTATCGTTCACACGGACAGATAGATGGACATACAGACAAAGGAACAGACGGAGAGACCAACCGGCAGGCGACAGATAGCAATGCAAAATTATAAACGATCTCTAGGATCGTTAATAAACGGCAAAAGTGTAAAATTATGGAACATGTAAAAAACGGTTTTTTGTTTTTTTTACAATAACTTTTTTTGTAAGCGGTACAGAAAAAATTCCTTCCTTGGTACAAGACTCGACACCATAACGAACCAAATAGCGAAAAAAGTAGAACAATAGCTCTTAAGATAAAGAACTAGTAGCGTCGCAAAGTTAGCGGACGGACGGACGGACGGACGGGCGGACAAAGTGGCCACAATAGCGCATTTTTTTTATTTTTATGGAAATGCGCTAAAAAGTTAGTTACAATAATGAGTTGTCGCTAGTTAGGTTAAACTCGAATCTCAACAGGCAAAATTTACATAGTACAAGCCGTTACTTTTAAAAGCAAATTCATTGCCAGCGTAAGTGCCCTATTTTGTTTAAAAAGAGAAGATTAGTCACCGCATAATCGCCTCTTAAGATAAAAGACTTTTAAATCTAACATCTTTTTCGTTGTTGATTAAAACCGGAGTTATGTCGTGGGGTTCTTTAAACACAACAAACTGCTGAGACTTTTAATTACCTGTTCCGTAATGGACATACCGTGTTAAACAAGAGAGTGGCGCCGATGGGAACAATGACAGTCGCCACACATCACCGCGATTAAATTTTTCAAAATAAACCGCTTTTACTTTTCGTCTACGGAATTAAAGTTATCCTAAAAATTAAGACATTTATCTTTAAAGGTTCCCCCGTTAATGATACGACAGTTATAAAATAAATTAAATTTCGGAGAGGCATTAATATCTCTTCCGAAAATAACGTACGTCTAAGCACGCAAAGCACTTTCTAAAGCCCAATATAACAAACGAGAGAACATAAAACAGAGGAACAGCGAAACAAATGAAATAACGAAGCCACAATTCGATTACTGCGTGTTTTACCCGTGATGCAATGGTAGACGTCGTTTCAGGCAGCCAACCTCTAGTCAATTACACTAATACGATCTGGTATCGCCTACAGCAATGCTACCAACCGCGTCGTTAAAGTAACTACATTGCCTCTAAGTTGACAAGAGTATTTTTGGAAATGGTGTAATTCTCTTTTATTCAATTCCACTTAAGTTTATTAAACGTAATGGATTACTTTCGCATTAGCATTGATTTTGTACGAAGTACGCATATAACCAAGCTCATTTTAACTTTTTTTCTTGATTATGGAAACGTGCAATTAATAATTCACGCCTGTGTGCATTAAACACTTTTTATGTTTTGATAGATTAGTATTAAATTACTCCGGCGAGCGACGTTTTTGCTTAATTATTTACCGAAGAGAGCCTCCAAAAATTAATTAATCTCACAATGGGCATACAGACATTAAACAAAATAAAATCTACATCCTTGACATTTCCAGCTTTATAATTAACCAAAAGATTTCGAGATCGCAAATTAATATTTTGCAGCGTTATTTATAACGGCAAGCGCTTGACTCCATAATGAAAAATATCCACGTGCATTAAACTTTATGAATTATTGCCATATACCCACCATCAAGTTTGATCGATAGTGCCTCTATTGCTATTGACTAAATTATTTCCCAACTTTCTCAACGTTAAGTGCTCTCTCACTATACATATAACAACGGTTCAAACTCCATCTAGGCCTAATTAAAAATTAAGTGGTTCCATTAAGTTTGCTTGTTTGAAAATGTCAACGTTTATGATCAATCGATGAAAACTTAACTAGAAAGTAAAAAAAATCGGTTACCTCCACTTTGTTCTTCTGTTCTGAAACCACGTTTTTACTTGTGCGTCCGTCATCTTCAGGCTTTTCGCCAGAGCCGCCCGTTCCGCCGACGCCAGATACTTTTGTTTATGAAACCTTTTCTCTAATTCGGCAATTTGTAATCTAGTGAACGACGTTCGTGGTTTTTTTCGTTTCGGCGGCGTCCTATTCTGATATGGATGGCCGATTCGCCTTACCATAGGAAACGCTGAAAGAGAATTATAGTAATTAGCCGCTAATTATAGTTATCTACCAATTTAGATAAATGTGTTAAATTGGAAATGTAAATTTGTTCGGGTTAAGTACCTAGTTGAGATACAATGTGGCTGCTACCATCGTCGTTTATTTTATATATAGCATATAATGGCGAGCGAAAAGTTATGGGATCATTACGTAAGCGATATCGTAAACTGTCTTTTAGCACATTATGCTTTCAAAATGGGCCGCAATAATATTATTCTAAAGGGAAAATTGACATGCACGGCAAGTTAATTTTAAAGGTTTATCTGAAACGTTCTCAATTTCTTTGCTCTGTTTATCCCTGCACAGTTGAGTGCAATGGAAAGTTCCCTTTCGCTATCTCACATACCCGTTAATTTAAGGGAGAAGGATAGAAGTGTAAGTAAATAAATTATTCTGGAATATTCTGTATATAGGTTGCGCCTCGTACGCGTTTACAGTGTGTCATGAATGCAACCCAATACATAATCTAGATCAATTCCGTGCATCTCAGGTAATAAAAATCTACCCAAGGTGTAATACAATTGTAGACTAGCGCAAAATAAATCGTTGATGCCAACTCAGCGTTTAATTATTTGTAGTTACGCGCTTTGACATAAATTAATGATGAATTTTAGTTAATTATTTTGTAAGTGTTGGTTGAATATTATTTAAATAAATAAACATAAATCAATTCGTTTAAGGTTGTTTCAAAAAATATTTTACAATATGTGCCGACAACAGATCTCAACGTTATTCATCAACACAATACAAAATGGCTTATGAATTAATTCTTAGGTGTTCTCATGGCTTCATTTTTAAATTACTAATTTTATTCCGCCAGCGCATTTATAAACGAATCCGGCAGAGCAAATTAGAGATATCTACTAATTTTCACACATTGTTTCATGGGTATGTTATTTCCAGCGGAAGTAAAAATAAACAATAATTACAGATGGCTAGAGGTGTAAGGTTAAGGAATAGGAAATTCTGTACAGTAATGTTATAATGATTTCAATTAAATATGGATATTGTTTATAACATCCGAAGAAGGACTCCAAAAGTTAACTTGTTGATATTTTGCCTATACTGAAAATCTAAAAAAAAAAAATATGGTTTCCTGTCAAGATTTTTCATCTTTGAGCACCTTTATTACTCTGTCGTAAAATCCAAATTGGAATATGGCTCTCTGATCTGGAATCCTAGCCACGACACGGACATCTCGTCTATTAAAGGGGTGCAAAGAAAGTTTTTGAAGTCTTGGTATTTCAAAGCGGAAGGCGTTTACCCTGAGAGAAATGTTAATTATCGTGTACTTCTTTCTGGAATACGCTGAATTCCAACACGGAAGAGGTGTACAGCTATGGCATTCCTATATAACTTTTGTAACAATGTTATATTTTTGTTGATATAATGCGCGTTATACAGTTGATCTTGTTCATAGTCATAAGCGGCTCACCTTCTGGGTTTTGTCTTCAAGAAATGTCAAAGAATCTGCATATATAATATATTTTTTCGATTGGTTGTGTGCGCAAACGCGTTGCCCACTACTGCATTTGTTTTAGATCCGTCGGTATACAGTGCTATTCATTTAGAAGTAGACATTGGGATTTCCTATATCTACTTTTAAATGACAAAAATGCTTCTGAAGGACGCCTAATTTTATGCACCCAAAATAACATGCACAATCATTTTACAATGTAATTCTAAATTTTAATTTAAAAAACGACAGTGAATAGGTCATGATGACGAGCCGGTATTTCCCTCAAGAATCTTATGGGTTTCTTTTCACCAAAAATTAAAACATTCAGTTTCATATCCTCCGTTAAAATTGAGGGTTGTTTAGGGTGTCTTACGTGGATGGCATTCAATAACCACTAATTTTAAAGTGATCAACACATAAATTAAGTCTCTTACGCTCCTTAAACTATGACCGACACTATACAAATTAACAATATCAAGTTTTTCTTCAGTTGAATTTCTCTGAAAAGTTTCCGATACGTTCCAAATAGGGAATGCAATACCGGGATCGCGGGATCTCGAAATACCGGGATCCCGCAGCATTTTTGCGGGATTAATCCCGCACATAAATGGAGCGGGATCCCGCGGGATTTGCGGGACCGAGGAATTTGTCGACCAAGGGGACGACTCTTTTTGCTTTGTTAATGAAACGCATAACGGAGAAATTATTTTTAAAATAATTGTTAAACTTTTTTCGTTAAAAATGTACTATGATTTTTGAGGCACTTTAGAAGTTCACCTATTTGTGCTTTACAGGTGATTTTTTTTGAGTTCTAAGTTAGCCTGAAGGTACTTTTTTGTTGAATACTTATTGTGATAATTAGCGATTTATTTTAATACAGAAGTTAACCGCACAAAATTGCTTATTTGCCAATTTATTTAAAATTTTGCGGGATCCCGCAAATACCGGGTTCCCGCGGGATTAACATCTAACGATCCCGCAAATACCGGGATTGAGATTTTGCTGCGGGATTGCATTCCCTAGCTGTAACTTTTGAACTAGTAGCCCAATCTTGGAACTGTTTGAAATTATGGATTCTACAGGCCACGTTCTATAAGAAAAATTTTTTTCCGGGTCGATCTGAGACAATTTTTTTTTCGGGGCAAAAAAAAGGCAGTGTATAACCTTCCTTTTTTCCAAAAATCGACTGCACCAAAATTTCTCGGGAAAACACTTTTTCTTATTAATTTTGGTGCGTAGAATCCAAAACAATTCGTACTTTTTCGATCAGACTTCTCAATCAAAAGTTATAGACTAGAAACCAATTTCGAAAGAAAATTCAAAGGGCTGTAACTTTTGAACTAGTAGCCCAATCTTGGAACTGTTTGAAATTATGGATTCTACAGGCCACGTTCTATAAGAAAAATTTTTTCCGGGTCGATCGGAGACAATTTTTTTTTTCGTTTTTTTCGGGGCAAAAAAAAGGCAGTGTATAACATTCCTTTTTTCCAAAAATCGACTGCACCAAAATTTCTGGGGAAAACACTTTTTCTTATTAATTTTGGTGCGTAGAATCCAAAACAATTCGTACTTTTTCGATCAGACTTCTCAATCAAGTTATAGACTAGAAACCAATTTCGAAAGAAAATTCAAAGGGCTGTAACTTTTGAACTAGTAGCCCAATCTTGGAACTGTTTGAAATTATGAATTCTACAGGCCACGTTCTATAAGAAAAATTTTTTCCGGGTCGATCTGAGACAATTTTTTTTCGGGGCAAAAAGAAGACAGAGTATAACCTTCCTTTTTTCCAAAAATCGACTGCACCAAAATTTCTCGGTAGTAGTGTATAACCTTCCTTTTTTCCAGCCGTCGGCGAAAATACATAAACAAAATCTCTTCGAATCGATAACGCTGTGGATTGCATATAAAATTAGCTTGGCACCGATTTATAACCCTGGGCATGGGTTTTAGGTTCTATCCATGTGGAGAACATTGGCACCTAGTTAACAATAAACTTTGGTAATGTGATTTCCAGTGCTTGTATTGTCTCTCGCGCCCTTACAATGGCCGGTCTACTAATTGTAGGTGGTAATCCTCCCAAGTACGAGTATGACCGTCTGTCCGTGTCTCATCATTTAAGTTACTCGGTGACGATATTACTTTGACAAGATAATTACAAGGTAAGCTTTCTCTTCGTACTTAGGTACGTGCGAAAAATTTTATTCGTTTATGCAAAATTCTGAAAAAAATTGTAAATTTCCCGAACTCCCTCAATGGTATGCTTCTATTAATTATCTACATATTTTCCGTTACTAAAGGAAGAGATAAAACGTAAAAACGCGTAATGCAAATGCTGGTTAATGCTTACTTACGAAGGGCCAGGAATCTGTTTTTTTTACAGTTTACAATTACAGTCCGAAGAAAATTCTGATTCATTGTTCACGGAGGGTGAAAAATCTGGATCAATATCTGAAATATACAAAAATTAACGATCCGAGGAAGTAACTGTGGAATTTGTATCATTTAAATCTGACTTTTAATACAAAAATTGATATGCTTAAAAGTAGCCAACTCAAATAGATTTAAAAGCAACTCCACTCCTTTCCCATTTGTGAAAAATAACATTCCGAAGTCTCTTACATAAAGTAATAATTTGTTAATTCGCGGGATCTTCTCCAATCCAGAAGGTAACTAGAGGTCCTGGATACGGTAACCTTAGACTGAAGTTGTATTTCGAGGTGAGTGCCGCTAAGTAATTTTAACACTCCAGCATTTACCTCTGCACGGATAAAACAGTTAAAGACATTAAAAAAAGCAGATTCATACTCAAAGAATTGAATTCGCTAATCAAACTAAACGAATCGAAGGAACTGGCCAATATTAAACAAATCAAAATAAGGATAACATTTAAAGTGAAACAATTGACGAGTACGCAGCGAATTACTCGTATTATACTATATATTGCCAGTACAATCTATAGAGAAATAGTACGTAAAGAAAATAGAGAACTCTAGAATTTAATAGACGGTGAGCGGGGATGTTAAGGGCGTGAATTTGTTCTTGAGACAAACTTTCCGAAGAGAATCATTGCGAATGTTTTTACAGAAATAGAGAGAACCTTTGAATTTAGTGCATATAGTAGAAAGTTCCAGGGTGAAGTGCAACGTAATATGTCCTTAAATAGGTAACTATAACTGTAAGCGAATTTACCGAAGCGAATTTTGTAAAGGACAATGTTGTGCCTTGGAAATGAATTTTAGAGCATTCAGGTTTGCAGTTAAATTTCTAGAATTTTTCAGAAATAGTAAAAAGTTTATTTGTTTAGCCAGATACCATACAGAATGCAAGTATTCCAATTACATGGCACTGGGATGCTGTAAATGCAGAAGCAACGTCTTGCAAAACGAACTTTGCTCATCATGATGTGAAGAATTTATCTGAATGGTTGCGGTCAACGAAACATGTGTTACATTTACTTATTCATTGAGGCATCAAGATAGCCGATTACATTACTTTAGCTCATCATG